TTTATTGTTTTTTGTGACAATAAAGGAGAATTCACCAAATGATAAGCTTTTTGAAAAGCAGGAAGTTGCAGCAGCAAAACTTGTTGGAGTGTTGCTTATTCTTATCCAACTGATCTTTCTTTTTTAGTTTCACTCTGCGAGAGTAATAGATGACTGTGTTTGAAAGAAACGTTCGTTGAATAAAAAGCGGCTCTTATCTGATATTTTTATCTAAATCTATTTTTGGATGATTTTTGAGTGTATATTAGCGCTTATGTTCGTTATATTTGAGGAACTAAAACTTTTGCTGTTTTAAATTTGTGTTCTGAAGATGGATTTGTAATTTTAAGCAATTTTTCAACTTCTTATGTTGCCTATTCTTCTATCTTACTCGTTGAACGTCAAAAAACTTGTTGATTTCTTTTTGGTTTTTTTTAAGTAACAAGTGATTTTGCCGGTCAAGGAGTATTTGCCGACAGAGTTGAATATCACTTTTTTAATTACTTTAACTTTTCAGAAATTTTTATCTTGTTGTTTAACATAAAGAACCTTTCAGGTTATACATACATCTGATGGTTTATCGAAGTACGGTAAAAAAGTGAAAGGAAAGGCAGCGGCGATCGACGAAGAACTCGAGGATTATTACGCTGACGTAAGTTTAAGTATTTTTTACGCAAATAATTTCTAAATTCTGTTATAGGAGAATAAAGCTCCAAACTAGCATTAATTTAGAAATGCATGTTAAATGTTCAGCAAGAAACTGCTGTTAAATGTTTCTCTCTGAAATTGTGAGCGGCTTTTCTAAGTCGTTCTTGCTCCCGAGGTCTTCTGTAGTTGTTTCTGCATTGTTTGACCTGTTTATTATGGTATATTCTTCCGCAAAACAGAAATTTTTGTCTTTTTAAGGATTACGACGCCGCAGGTCCATCGATGGCGGATGATCAGCTGACGCATGTTCGTGATTACGACGATGTGTATAAGGTGCCTGATAACGCAGGAGGCCCAGGATACATCCCTCACAACAATATGAACGACCGTTGGTTGGACAATTACACTCCGTTTAGGAAGGATGACTGTGTTGTCTACCAGGGGTCTGCTTGTTCCGAATACTTGAAAGGCAGATCTATAAAACTTGTCAAAGAGACTAGGGACGCTATGTATGAAATTGGTATGCAGTTTGTTACAGTTTTTATTTAAAGACGTTTTTGGAGGATTAGAGGGAAAGAAAGAGGAATGATAAAGTTTGGCAAAAAAGTTATAATACAATTTGAATGTTCTAGTAAATCTGTGTGTGTTAAAGCTATTAGGTAATGATAAGCTTAAAACTAAGCTTTGTGAAGTTGGCTTTACATAGTCATGAAATATTTTTAGACAAAGAAGTGTTTGCGGCCTATTTAACTATCAAAAGTATGCCCAGGATATCTCCTGAGTGCAAGCGGTACTCGCACGCTATCCTCTGTTTCCATAATTACCAAGTATGCGATCGATCACTGGATTCTTTACATCTGAAATCTAAGGAACCTGTTCGCGTTTGTCGAAGGGACTGTGAAAGGATTCAGGTGAGCTCTTATTTGTTAATAAGCCTTTACTTAATCAAACAATTCCTGTGCCTCAAAATTCGTAACTGATTCTTTTTGCAAGAATGGTTTTTAAAAACAACAGACAATCATCTGTCATATACTATAATTCTCAATTTATAGAACCAGTTATGTCCAGAAGGATTCAAAATGGCAAAGGCAGCTAATTTGGTCGGTGAAGATAAGCATTTTCCAAACTGTAGCGCCCTTCCGGAATCAACGCATAGTTGCCTCCCTGTTCTTGACTTGTCACAAGAGGTTATTTTCATTTACGTTTGCTGTGAGAACGAATACCTGTTGTAATTATTTGTTGCGAGTATTTAAACTGAATAAAAAAAGAGATATAAGTGGTATAATTACTTCAATGGCTTCGTATTTATTTTACATTTGATGTAATTCTTCATGAACTTATGTTCGCTGATTAATTTGCAGACAAATCAGAAAAGTCTTTTTGCAGCATATAAGTGGTGTTCCTGATGTATCCAGCGGATACTCGACGCAATCCTGCTACCACGACAGTGGGAAGAATTACACAGGGACTGCGGCAAGAACAAAATCTGGAAAGAAATGTATACGTTGGGTCGACAACCCCGGGTGAGTGTTTATTTCACAAGTACTCTTATTATTAAATTCTCTTCTCAAAATTACTGGTTAAGTTTATTGCGCTTTGACCAGACTGAATTTTGAAAGCCACCATATGCATCTTAATTCGCTAATAATTTTAAATGATAGAATTAGTATTTTAGGGGTTATGTTGAGAAGTATCCGGAATTAAGGATGAGCCATAATTACTGTCGTAACCCGGGTGGTGAAAAAGTCGCTCCTTGGTGTTATTCAAGATCGACTTTGGCTGAAGAATACTGTGATATTCCAAAATGCCCAGAGCGAAACGGCGATGGTTCCAGTAGCGGTGACGTAAGTTAATAAACAATTTTTTCTTCTACAGAGTAACGTTGAACTAGAATTGACATCTATTCTCGTTGTTTAGAACACTATTTTTGGAAATTTTTCCACAACGTGGTCTGGTTTATCGTCGAATTGGCAATACGCTATTATGGCTGGATTAGGGTCATTTTTACTTCTGTTTCTTATATGCTGCTTATACTTTTGTCGAAGGAAGAAAAAAAGTTCGTCATCGTCTACATCAAGCGCCAAGAAAAACGGTGTTTTACAGAGTTGCAATGGTTCAAGCATAGCGAATAGGTCGGTAGCAGTTTCACATTTTTATCTGCCCAACGATATTTTAAGAGACTTTAGTCAAGGTTAAATGTATGAATTATTAAGGTGCTCTGAATAATTTCTTTCTATTTAGTGCTGTGAATAGTGCATACTACCGGAAAGTTAATGGCATGGTAGCGCCCGGTAACCAGAATAGTGGTGCTTTTGAACTATCTTCGCTACTTTCTGGTCATACTAATAATGGAGGGTATATGCCGCATCAACTACCATCTTCGTATGCTCAGTACAGTCCGCAGCCTTCTACAGAACCACCTGTTGAACCTTATCAAATTCCTGAAATACAAACAAATCAGGTAAACCGGTATTTTTATGATTTGAAAAGAAGTATGTTGCTGCAGGAATATTTCGGGTGCTAACATGGAAGAATTGCAGCTTCAAATAGGTAAGGCGATAGCGGACGGCCAATTTGGTGTTATACACGCTGGTAGTTGGCTTGGCTCTTTGATTAGCGGTGAACCAATGCAGGTAAAAAACTAAAAAATTTTGAGTTTAGTTTTTTTTACAGCTAGAATTGTTTAACATGTGGAAGAAGTAGTGGTCAGCAATTGTATTAAATATTTGCAGGTTGCTATCAAATCTCTGAAACCTGGTAGTAGTAATTTGGAAAGACAGAACTTTGAGGAAGAAATAAGAACGATAGCACCGTTTGAGCATCCAAACGTGATTCGTCTTCTTGGTGTGTGTTATTTTGACCAGTCACCTAGTGCAGTTTTTGAATACATGGTTCATGGTGATTTACATGAATTTCTCCTCCTTCGAGCGCCAAAATTACCAGGGTAAATATTATACTGATCGCGTTTGTGTGATTACATTATGATGTTGGATACTTTTAATTACCATCAGCAGCAAAAGAGATCTTACTGTTGTCATTTAGATTCGACGCTTCATTAGATCAGGATAGAATTATTGCCGATAATGCAGACTTCATTCACATTGCAGTGCAGGTTTTTGGGTTTTTCAATGTTATGAGTCTGTTGAAAAATATTATCAGTAAACTGTGAGCAATTTGAAAGATCGGCGCTAGTTTCATCATCCTTTGTTGAAAATTCTTTGTTCAGATTGCTTACGGTATGGAGTACTTAGCAAGCATGAATTATGTACATCGGGATTTGGCCGCCAGGAACTGTATGGTTGGTGGACAGAGGGGAATAAAGATTGCTGACTTTGGCTTGATGAGGAATTGCTATGAGAAAGACTATTATAAGGTTTGAGGTTGCAGTCATTGTCGTGCAGTAACTGTAGTAACGTAGTGCTATGTTGTAAAAATCTTTGTTAACTTTACTACAGTTAAATTTTGTTTGTACATTTTATTCTATTGTTACTCATATGAATTGGCAGCAAGCAGCTCATTAAAATTTATTGTTTAGATGGCACATCGGGCTTGGATGCCAATTCGTTGGATGTCAAATGAGGCAATCCAGCAAGGTCGCTACAGCGAAGCCAGTGATGTGTGGTCATTTGGGGTGACACTGTGGGAGATTTACTCGTATGGGAAGCAGCCTTATGAAGGCTATGCTAATCATGAAGTAATTAACATGATCTCCACCAGAAACCTTCTGGAATGTCCTCAGAATTGCCCAACAAACATTTATAGGTATTCAAGACCTGTGTTTAGATCATTCTTCTTTGAAAATAAAGTCTTTAGAGTATGATGTTTTTGGAGCAACGCATGTGCTTTTGGACAAAGTAGGAGTCTAAAAGTTTTACGATTAACCCACATAGGTGATTGCTTTATATTTATTCAGTTTGATGGTTGAATGTTGGCATGAACATTCTGAACGACGGCCTACGTTCTCAGAGTTGCATTCTCGACTTCATACATGGTCTTTAACTAGTCCAGCTCAGTCGGTTCTTACGCATCAGATGAACAATCGAGCGAGCAGTTCTCATTCGGGTAAATAGCTTGATTCATTTATTGTTTGAATTGAATTTCTTCGCTATAATCAGGGAAGGGACTTCAGTCGGATTGTTATTTTTTCTTATTGGTAGATTCAGGTTCGAGCGGCGCACCTCGAGGCAGTAGGCAGTCGTCGCAAAGTGCCAGTTTACTGCGTGGTCCGACTACAGCAACTGCTTCAGTTGGTACAGGACCAAGTCTAAGTACAACAGCTTTTTCAGTGCCTTCACCAGCACCCATGCAAACCATGGTAACATTGAATGGTGTGCACCCTTATCACGGTTCTCAGCCAAGTAAATATTTTATTCCCTTCATTCTTTTTGTCTCCAAAGAGACTCTTCATTTTGGTGAGAACTGGTAACAAAATGTGCGTTTTTTACTGTTTCACTCAAAATCTAATATTGCAGATGCAGGTTTTATAAATGGTCCATCACATCTTGCTCGGTCTTCAAAATCACGCAGTAAAAATGAACCAGCACATTTGTTGCGGCGAGATGGCTCAAATCAGTATTCAGACGACGACGTTGTGAGTGACGATTCGCAAAGCAGTTGATGCTGTGTGCTAATTATGGTGCTTGGCACCGATATGTAGAATATATGGCAATTAAATTACAGAAGTCTTTTTTTATAATTAAGTTAAAGATTTTTGTTCAGGATTCTTGATGATCTCATTAAGAAATTATTTACTTGTTACACTGAATTCTACTAAACCAGTAAATAATAATGCTATTAGAGATTGAAGGAATTTTGAGTCTGTCAATCAAAAACATTTAGTATTTGTGAAAGTCAACTTGTTGTTTGCATTTTTTTTTCCAAAAATTTGTTCAAGGCAGTTTAGTGGAATTTGAGACAGTAGTAGATTGTTGTTGCTGTTATCTTCATGGTAAAGGTGGATTTTTGTGCATTTTTGCTAAAGTATTTAATGTTGTACCAGATTTAAAAGGCGCATACTGACCTCTTATTTACTCGAGCTTATTTGTATTTGATGTCCATATTATTTCATGATAGTCGTGATTCTTGTTCCTTTTGTCTTTTCGACTAATTAGTCTGAAAACTGGTTTCTGTAAATTTTTCTGCATCAGGTCAAAAGGGATATAATTTCTTAATTCTTTATTTATTCGTGATAAGGTCTCACTGAATAGGACTTAATTTCTCGTTACCATTTGCTGATGCAGACTGACAAGTCTGTGATTTTGTTTGTTTATAAGTTGACAGTTTCATCCTATACCTTGCATGTATCATGTTCCTAGTTGATTTCTATTGTTTTTTTACTTGAGAACAGGAGAATGTTTAGATGGCCGATTAACACGACTCCTTTGAAAATGTAAATTGCTTCGAATTGTTTAGTAAAGTCAATTTGACATCAGCGAAATCGCTTCCGTCTCATAAAACGCAACATAAGAGGCGCACATTCTTAATGTGTCGGTCAAATGTGAGTTAGGTCGAGCACCTCAATTCATTCAGTTCCCCCTGGTGAAGCGGCTATCAGCAATATGAAACTTTTCAGGCATCTCGACCAAGTACATTGCTAAAACGAGCTTTATGAGCAGAATACCACGGAACAATTGCTTCTTCCCCTTTCTTGAATTTGAACAGCTGGGTTAAGCTCAAGGATGCAAATTGCGAACTAGCAGTGTATCGATAGAACGACCACAAAACAGCGCTGAACAGTTCTTTTGCACACAAGTATGACAACCTCAAGTCTTTTAAACATCAATAAATTGTTCGCGTCTACCTATTAAGCCTTTACGCGGAAACGTCAGCTAAATCCATTTCGTTTTGCAAAGTTCAGAGCTGGTTTCTTCTGGCTCCTCTAAAAGGTTCAATATGCAAATCCTTGTGTAGCTGATGACGATGCCGTTAATCTGCTCTAAATGTCATTTGTAAGCTGCGGATATTTGTAAGCCGCAAGACTTTTGAAACCGACTTCACTAGCACTGCTTTCCAAGAATAACAGTATGGGGGCTAGAGTCGGAATTATATATCCGAATTTAGAATCGGAAATTCACTTTCGACCCAAACTTTTTGCAAAAAAAAAAAAAAAAACCCACTTCTGTGCCGATCCCAAAAACTGCCACCTGTTCATGTTCCGGTGACACATCTAAGAATTGAACTAGTAGACCCTTCGGATTTCTCATAAAAGTCAAGTGATCTAAGTATCTATAAAATCATCCCGGCTACCCCTAATGTATGCGAAGAATCTGTGCGCTCAAAATAAACTGGTACAACGACGAAAAGATCTTTGCGGCTAGAGGCACTACACATCAGGTTAATAATTCATTGCATTTTTTCCGGCACTCTAGATCCTACAAATATCTAAAGCTATGCATAATTGCCAAACTGCAACAACGTGAGGTCACTGAAATTCCGGCTGTTGCCAAAAGAAATGAGGTTAGAAAAGGGATTTAGGGTTCAACATTTCTAACTTAGCATCATATGCTCGAAAAGTATAACCAAAAACACGATTTCTCAGAAGATATTTAAAATAGAACTTTACCAAAAAAAAACTATTAAGACGAAGCGGAAGGAACTTTACGAAGAATATACATTGTGCTTTAGTTTCGCCCTTGCCGCCATTATAAGCATCTTTCCACGGAGAGTCTATAGATTTAGATCAGTTTTTCCAAGAAACTTTACTTCTTTCGTAAGAGATAACAACGAAATAAAAATTAGATAACTCACTTTAAACAGTACGGAAAAACAAAGTGAAAAGATTTAGAGCCAACAAAGGACTCTAACTGCGGACCGATATAAACAAACTTCCGCCAAATCAAGATCAGAACGTTCGCTCTTGTTTTTTTTTCATACACAATTACAGATACTCTAAAATAAAATGTAGCAAATCAGCAGGAAACAGGACTGTTACAAGGTGTCAGGGAATTTCCGATTTCTTTAAAACACTTTCCAAGCAAACATTTTCCTTTTCACCGCGTAGTCATGGTTTTATCGTCATTCACTACTGCTACGTCTGCGTCGGCTTCCTTAAAAGCGATGATCACGGTCATTTCAAAACTTCCGGAAATGGAATATCATTTTCCGCCGTTATAATCAAACTTTTTAGAAGCAGTAATTTCCAAAACCCACCAAAACATTTGCCAGATTCCTATACTGCATTACCAACAAACGCCCATATACCATATGACTTTGGGACGAAAGCATCTTCACCGCTGCTAAAGCAGCTTCTTCAGCCCCAAGTGCAGTCGTACTGCCAATGCCTAAGGAAAGTCAAAATAAGATATGCCTGTAATAACAAGTTCCCTTGATCTAACTACACTCGCAGAAATTTGCTGCTAAGAAAGCTTACCAGATGGCATCCTCAAAGACGACCAAATATCATTGGTTGACCACTCTGAAGCAGGCGGGGCGTTGATTACCGGACTTGCTGTGTTCGCAGCAACTACCGGGCCCAAACCATTGCTGCGTCCGGCGACGGCAATAAATACAGTTGGTATGTTGTCTAAAAGGCTGCTCAAGAACACTTCGAAGACAATCATCAATGAAACTTTGCGAACAAACTGCTCAATCAATTTTGTTCTGGTCTTATTCAAAATCTACTTTTGCTACTCAGTAGTGATGAGGAGCGAAATTTACCAACAAATTATCCACGCATTTTAAAGTAAGCAGTTGAAAAAACTAATTGTGGAGTAAGATAAACGGGATACTGAGTTTCCAGTAAAATAACATACCTTCATATTGAGCTACAATTTGTAAAACGGCATCGGTAGTTTTGTGAGCAGACGCTATTCTTTTAAAGACAGGTATATCAAAACTTCTAACGACTTCTGAGACTTCCAATGCGTATTCCATATCACTTGGTGATCCCATTATTATAACAACTCTGGTGGCTATTGGGGTTATAAAACTCTGAAAAGTAAAATGGCATTTATGAAGAAGGCAAAGAAATAAAGAAGCTTTTTCTGAAAACAAACCAGAAGTACCGTACTTTAGTGAATTCTGCAACCTTCTGATAATTTTCTCTAAGTTTCGACAACGCCGTGTCATCGACTTCTTCCAAATCCCTGTAGAACTGTTTATCCAGCTGCAGACGACGGTCTCCTGCTGGCCACACTCTCCAGCTATCGTTGTCAATTACATCAGCAATCACTATTCTGCCCTCCGCAGTCACTCCAAATTCAATCTTCATGTCGATGAGCGCACAGTTACGTTTTGACCAAACTTTCTCGAGCACGCGGAAAACCGTTTCTGTCGCTTTCGTCATTAGTTTCACTTCGCGTTCCCCTATTTTCCGGCCATTGAATTGGAAGTCAGCAGCAATAATTTGCTCGAACGACCATTGAGGATCATTAGCTGCATCGTCCTAAATATACGGTAAATGGATTGTGACATTACAATGCCTTGTAGAATCCCAATCACAATTTACTTTATAGAAGACTTCAGTTTTAGGAACATCAAATCGATATCCTTCTCTGACACCTGGGTTTCGTTTCAAGAACGACCCAGTTGCTACTCTGCGAGCGACCCATTCGAGCGGGATCATTTGGCAACGTTTGGCCAAAAAACCTTTTCCGTCTGGTCGTTCATGGAATGATAAGAAATGAGTTTCAAACCCTGGAATAATAACTCATAATAATTTCGAAAAGTCAGACGCACAGTGGAATTTTTAGCGCAGTGGAAAGTTGCATAAATCAAACGAACCTAGCTTATTCAGATATTCGAAGACAGCACAAGTAGTTTCGTTGGCAATATCAGCTTTACCTTCAATGACGTTTCTCCTCAAAGCATTAAAAGCGGTAATATCATTCTTGCTTTTAATGAAAACAATCTTCAAGAAAAGAAATGTTAGTTGCAGTTATAATATTGTAAGTCAGTGATCTAATAGTTTCGAAGCAGTTCTTACAATAACATAAAATTGGTAGGAGTTAGAAAATGCGATACTAAGAAGACAAGATTGCTTTTATAATTTGACCGATGTTCCAAAATAATTATTCTCCGCAGTAAACGAAGAAGTTTCAAAACTTACATTCTTTTCGGCGTCTGCGACAAAAATCTCTTTCGTCTTCCCTTCACAAATTTTGTGCAGTTTATTATCCAGCATTGTCACCAATACAGCTTATAGCTCAGAAGGAAGACAAACAAAAACAGAGGAATAAACAGTTAAACAGTTCAGCAAAATAGAATTCTGACTATGGCTTAAAACAGGTCACTTATCAAGGCACCTTCTGCAAGACTAGAATTCTGTTATTTGACAGATAAGAGGCAATTTCTTCGCCTTTTTCGCGCGAACAAATCTGATTTTGCCAACACCCAGTTTTAAGGATTATAACTAAGACCTGTAAATTACGTAAAACAACAGTTTCGGCGTTTGGTGCCAAAACTATCAAAAGCACTTTGTTCCTCTTAGGCTTAACAAGTTAGATATTTCACAGGTGACCACCCCTGAAATACCATTGCGGTCTTTAGTGTAGATTCGTAGAAATATTTAATTGGTTGATGGAATCAGCTCATAGGAGGATGGTGTGTACGCTGAAATGTGCATCGTAGGTGACAAAAATATGGAGGAGGAGGAAGGGAGGGATCAAAACAGGTAAATCATTAGGTTTTGTATTTTGCCAAAGTTAGATTTTATCTTTTTTGTTTGGTTTTTTTTAGGGTTTAGACTGTGGCTTATTTAGTAAAAGTAGTCCGATTTATATGGGAAGAAATTTCAAAAGAAGATTTCATAAACCGTGATATTAAAGTGAACTTCAATAAGGGAATAGAGATTCAAAGTTACTGTGTTTCAGCATTTGGAGAGTAGGAATTCTCTTCTTGCATTATTATTGCAAACTTGACCGCGAGTTGCGAATTTTCAGGCTTGTAATGATTTTTTGGATAATGATACAGTCTTAATTTACTATATACAGTGTAACTTACAGTAAAGAATAATTTCTTATAACCATACGTCAAACTCTTGTAAGCTGGTAAACAAATTTATTTTCTGTCTGTATTTTGAACCAAAAGGAACTGCCACTTATAATGACTGGTTTACTCATTTGCTTATGTAGCTAATTATCAATCGTCAACACGCTCAGATATGCACCGGTAAACTGTTGTTGAATTGTCAGTAACCAAGATATTGGTAAATAAATAAAAGTGTGAAAGCAGGTATTATAAACATAAAATCTATTTGCTTTACGTATCTAAGTATCTATATCTGTAAGATATTGTATCACTGAGAACTGCTATCAACATACAGGTAAAATTGGTTCCATACCTACAATTCAATCTTTAATTTGCAAGGGCTACAACTTCCAATTATCAAGAAGTCAAAAGACTTTACAAAACCGCTTAAAATTAGCAATTCAAGTAGTTTAATCAAAATTTTTTGCTACAAGTTTTTAGATCAGAATTGACGAATTACTGAGCCATCATTTTTCATTTTTTTTTCTTTTGTAGATATTCTAAACCTTCGAGCTTTTAGATAGTATATGCAGAAGCTTCTGAAGAAAGCAGCTGATATCTTTCAGACCAAACAAATACACTGAAATATTTATGAAATGCGATTATTCCGAGCTTTGCTTTGTGTAACTTTATTCCACAGTGGTACGAGATATAAGTACAACTTTCTATTTTTTTGATCACGTATTTGTTGTGCTACCTTACCAGCTTCTCAAAAATATTTTTTTGAGATTTTTTAATGCGTCTCAGAGCATTTTTCAGTAACTGCCAAGCTTTGTAAAGTTTTGTATTTCTGTAACTTTTTTTTAAAAATTAGCAAGACAAAGTTTTTAGTAGTTATACACGAAAAAAA